AAACCAACCATAGTCATTATAACATATATCCCTATTAATTATCTTTTGACTTTAGTGATAAGCATTAACAGATAAGATTAATTCAAATTATGAAAACTTGATAGAGTTAGTTGTTTATAATGATTAAGTTACCAACTATATGACATTGTTGATGTGTCAACCACAACCATCACATATCTCGAAGACTCGAACGTGTAATCACGCTAGTAAAGTCTAAAAAGAGTGGTGTGTAGGCAAATCTTACTCTTACTTTATGAAGATAAAAGAATTGTTTCTGATATACCTGACCTAGACTCAAGTAAAGCAACATTATTAATCTGCCATTTCATTATATTCTATTCGATGCTCGTTTAAGTATAATTAGAGTTTTGCATTTGAAATTTTGAATATATTCCCCCTCCCTTTTTTGAACACTCTTCTCCCTTCCACACGAAAATCAGTGGTGAAACTAGATTTTTAATTTTTATCGAGGGAACTTTAAAGAAATATGAAATATTTTTCATATATATAATATATATTTCTCAATGCAGGGAATTTAATTAAACCCCTTTCAATAAATTTGATTAGTTGATTTTCTAACCATGGATACTGAGGTACATGTACACTTGGCTGTTTTTCTTTTCTTAAAAAAGATAAAAAAAAAAAAAAAAAAAAAGATAAAGGGAATGTGTACGGACAAAAGAATGTACCTAGAGCTCTATATATAATATAATATATAAAATAATAGAGTAAATAAGATCACTTCTAGGGTTATAATTAATTAATTAGATCTTTGTTATAATTAATGACACACCACTTTGTCTAATCAAAGACACAAAGCACTATAAAATCATGCAAATCTATTCCATAATCCAAGTTAAAGGAACTACATATTAATAAAGACAAAGAATCTAGGCCCAACCTTGATTTATTTATGCATAAAATAAAAATGACCAAGAATTAAAGCATGATATACATAATCAAAGAAGAGAGACAATTAAACAAAATATCAAAGGGAAAGGCAATTTATGTTTTTGTGATTATTCTAAAGGTCAAAAGGGGTCCAAAAAACTAATGACTAATTAAAGAAGAATGGACAAATTTAAAGGTAAAGGACTAGGTTTTGATAATTATTAGCAATAATAATCTTGGACAAATTTTATAATATACAACTCACAAATGTGTTATGTGTAGATAGGAGTGCAAAATCAATTCATAAAATCATGATTCGCTCAGTTTGATTAGGTTTGAGCGGGTTAATAACCTGATTTTTAGCCTATTTAAGTCCAACTCGTTAACTTTTGAATATACTAAGATTCACTTATTTATTATCTCAATTTAACAAAAGCTATAATTAGATTGTAACAAAATAAAAAATATAAAGAAAATGAACTATAAAAAGCAAGCAGGATAATTAGAAAGATGAGATCATGGAAAATTTGGACCAATATATATACACGAATCTTATTTATTATCTCAATTTAACAAAAGCTATAATTAGATTGTAATAAAATAAAAATATAAAGAAAATGAACTTAAAGCAAGCAGGATCATTAGAAAGATGAGATCATGGAAAATTTGGACCAATATATATACACCAAAGTAATAATTCAAATAAGCATTTGTTGTCCCAAAAAAATGCCACCAAGTAATAAATGAGTCAAGACTTGTATCAATTTTTTTTATTTACTTTAAAAATTATAATGAAGAATCTGATTGTACATTATTATACTATATTTTATTATATAATTTAACTTTATTTTGAAAGAATAATATAAATTATTTTTTCATTCCATTGACAGAAGATAGCTTATGAGGTAAAGATTACGCAAAAGTATACAAAACAAAAAAAAAAACAAATTTTTACATCTTAATTGGCGTGGGACTCAACGCACCTACATGGTACCCTCATTTATTAATATTGTCCAAAAATATTTTTTTTAAAAAGGGGTCAAATAATTCACATTCTTATCGACGTGAGAGTCAACATGCTTCTCACTCTGTTAAGAATAAGGTTCGATGTTTATGTAAATAAATTTTACACTATTGAGTACGCTAAATTATTCATCATGAACAAGTTCATTGCACATGTAAATTATATTTTATCGCCCCCCTCCCCAATTCGCTCCTCATTCTCTTTGAAATAAATAAAGCTCGCTATGAGCCGTGTCTTTCCACGTTATATTATGTTCCCTCCACGAGAAAGACACACAAAAGAGGTATCCACCATCCCCTACCCCAACCCAAAAAAAACAGAAGATGAAATTGGAAATGGGCCAAAACAAAAATGGACTTATTTACTAAGCCCAGTGGATCAATGCAAGCCCAAATGAAAGAGTTTCCCAAAATGTGTGTCCAATTTCTATCCGGTAAGCCCAACAAGAAGCCCAAAAATGTGTAAGTGTATTAATTTTTTTAAAAAATGACTTATTTACTAAATACAAGAAAAGAATAATATTTGTGATAAATAATTCGTCATAAATTCGAGTTATAAATTGTCCTGAATTTAGCACAAATATCAATAACACTAAATTAATTTGTGATGTATATTACTACAAGAAAGTTCATTCACGATGAAGAATTTGTTGTTAAATCGCCCTGAATTCATAAAAAATGATGAATTCTATCATAATATTGTCACAAACTCGTCATACTTTTATAAATTAATGTGTTTGTCATAAATATTCCATCAAAAGATTATTATTTTCTTGTAAGAAGTCTAACAATAGAACCTACCACCAAAACAACTTCTATTTCCATTTTTTTCTTCCTCCCTCTGGGTTCAAATCTTTCTAGAAATGGAATCGCCTTTATTAGGGAGCATTTTACCTTCAATATAGGAGTTTGTGGCATGAATCTGAATTTAGTCATGTTCTAATATGAGTATCGAACTAACCAAAAAAAAATCAATCATTTTGGTACAGGTGGATGGACAATCATTTTTATACAATATAGGGAAAATGCATAAGTACCCCCCCAGCCTATATCCGAAATCCCAGAGACACACCTAACCTTTATTAAGGTCCTATTACCCCCCCGAACTTATTTTATCTATAATATTCTACCCCTTTTTGGCCTACGTGGCACTATCAGGTGGGCCCAGCGCATGTTGACATTTTTTTCAAGGATAGTGCCACGTAGGCCCAAAAGGGGTAGAATATTATAGATAAATTAAGTTCGGGGGGGGGGGGGGTAATAGGACCTTAGTAAAGATTAGGTGTGTCTCTGGGATTTCGGGCATAGGGTGAGGGGGTACTTATGCATTTTCCCTACAATATATAAAGAATGAATATTCTTCAACAACTTCCTTTTTTATGCTAAAAGAAGAAAAATCATAAATTTTCCTAAACCAAACCCAAGAATATGTGTCCAATTTATTTATTTATTCTCTAGAAATGTCATCAACAGTCTTTCTTCTTCAAGTAATTAACTTGAATTCCTAACAACAGATGAAACTAGAACTACTACCCTATTCATAGAAAGTGAAATATTGTAACATAGAAAAAGAAAATTAGTGCATATACAAGTCCATTTGACCTACCCACTTTGATGTATAATTAGGGTCCTACTAAATACCATTAAGAATTATGATGTGACCCGAGAAAATCGAATTCAGAATTTAAAATTTATAAATTTTTAATATATATGTAGAATTTGGGTATAATCTACTGCTTTCTGTGAGTTGAGAAAATGATTTTTTTTATGTCCACGTAAAAATTGAATAGATGAAAATTACTTTTTTGAATATTTTATTAGTAAAAATGAATCTCGTATGTGTAAAAATAAAAATATTTTGTTAAAGGAACATAAAATAACAAATTTGTAAATGTGGGTTCTCTTCTAGATTCGTCATTAGAAATATATAGAATCTCTCTATCTCTAACCTGAGATTTCTAGTTCTAGGAATGGATCTAAAAGAGAATCTATGGATTCACAAGAACCTAATTGGCATGTATCCAGATTCTATTTGTATAATACGCAGTTCATTAAAAATCTAAAATATTTATTCGTGAATTCAATTATTATTTTGTATATCAACTTGTTGTTGATATAAGAACCTACAAATAATTAAATTTTGAATTCACATCTATTAGATTCGAGCTCTGAATAACATTAGAATAATTTATAAAAATAATCTTGAATTTAGATGATCTTGAAAGACTATGATTTCTCTATGACGAAGCAGGCTGTCAAAAGTTCAAAATTACTATTTTCAAGACTATTGTGTGTAATTTTTCCTAGAATATTTCTTCTTTGATGAACCTTATTTAGTTGGATTTTAACGAAAAAAGTGAGAAATCAAAAGAAAAGGTCTTTATCAAATATAATATTAATAGGACCAAAGTATGAGAGTGCCACATAATTGAGGGGTTGAGTGTCAAAGACAACAGTAGTGATCAGTTATCATAAAATTTCAACACTCTAGTGATTAGACACACCTAACTACCTACATTTAGTAATAAATTATTTTTATCCCCTTTTTTGTTCTTGATAATTAAATCTTCAAAATCACCTAAAATGGAAACAAATGCTTTTGGATTTGATTTTAAAATATTAAAGAAATGTTCTCTCACACATGCTCAGAAGCACCCATAAAAAGTTGTAAAACACCTTGAAGTTTCTTTTTTCTTTCCTTCTCTTTTACAAAAATAAAATAAAATAAAATAAAATAAAATGATACTTAATTTTGACCTCAGTCTGTAAATAAGCACTTTAACTTTGAGAATAAACATATAATTACTTTAATTTGATTTCAACTAATAACCATATATTCTATCTCATTTCCATTATATTGTATAAACATTTGATGCTGATTTAACACATAAATCTCGTAGGTGTCTTAATATCATTTTGTAAGTTGAACGGTTCAAATGACACGATAGAAATGAATTGAGGTATCTAGACGCGTATAATCAAAAGTAGAATTGGAAGGCTCGCTCGCTCGCTCACCGGTTTGAGATCAAATTTGAGTGTTTGTTTATATATTATTAATAATTTTATTTAAAAAATCAATTTGTTGGAAGTGGAAATTGTGTTGACTTAAATGTATTTGGTTTACCAGTGCTTCTCTTCTCTCCAAGAATAAAAGTGGCAAAGCACCATTGCACCTGTTCCAAGTTCTTTCTAACTTTTTAGACTCTTCTTCTTGGTAAGTTTGATATAAAGTTTCAATCTTTTTCATCAAATATGATTAATTTTTCTACTTTTTGTATTTCCCTTGTGATTTTCTCAATTGGGTATTTTCTTGTTTCTTGTTTGATACAGTAAGATTAAAGTTATGATTTTTTTTGTGCTTGTTTCTTGATTTGTAAAGCCTGATAGTTGTCACCTGGGGGATCTTGATTTTGTCTTCAGTATACTTTTTACTAATTTTAGTTTAATGTTTTGGTTCTATATAATAGCACTGTTCCCTTTTCTTTGGGGAAATTTGTTTTGCTTGTGTTGTAGAGTTAATGGTCAAAAATACACCTAAAGTATCGCGATTTTTTGAGTTTTGATACATGAATTAGATAAATAGTTGGTGATAGTTCAAGTATGAAACTCGAAAAATCAGGATACTTGTGTGTTTTTGACCCTTCACTGTGTATGTTAGGTCTGATTTAATCTGAATTCCAAGATTGGAACTTTAATTCATACTGATGTATGTCTGTCAATTTATATTTTGCATATTCAGAATTTCAGTTGGATTTGGCTAGTGGTGAAGAATTCATTATAAATTTGCACTTGTTATAGTTTTGAGAAACTTTTGTTTCTGGATGGAACCTTTGAGCTGTGCTTTGGAAGGGAGAGGCCTTATTTTTCCTGATAATGTTGAATTGTCGGTCGACACGGTTTCGAGAAGTAGAAGTATTGTAAAGGAATGGAATTTGAACCCTTTTTGTGATGTTGATAAAAGCATTTGTGGTTTTAGTCAAGAAGTAACTGAAAGCACAGAGTTCCTGGGATCAGGTATTGCTGATATTTTGAAGAAATCAGCAGCCAGTAACCCGTGTCCCGGGGTTTTAAGTGGTGAAATGAGTGATGGTTGTGGTAAAATGCTATCGTCAACTTCTATGTTTAATACATTTGAACCGATTCCTGGAGAAGTTGGACTTGGTGCCATGTTTAACCAGAGGGCTACTAAATCTAACAATCCGATGTCATCATTGATTGATTTGAAATTGGAGGAGTTGACTGATCATGGAGAATTAAGGACTAGTCAATCTTCGAAAGAAAGTTCGATACTTTCTTCTCCAGAATCTTCATTGGCAGCTGGAAAAGCCCAAACAAAGAGATTGCATTCTCAGTTTTCTATCTCTCAGGTTCGTGGCCAGAAGGAGGTGGAGTCGACGACTGTTTATAGGGAAATTAAGAGTAATCAGTCTTTAAAGAGAAACTCGGCTTTGTCTTCAGTCAATTCGTCACTGCAGGGAAAAAGACTACGTACTACGAATTTTCATTCCGAGATTCCTGTCTGCCAGGTTCATGGTTGTAACAAGGACCTGAGCTCCTCAAAAGACTATCACAAGAGACACAAAGTATGCAATGAACACTCAAAAACTGCTATAGTCATAGTTAATGGGATTGAGCAAAGGTTTTGTCAGCAGTGTAGCAGGTATGGTTCTAGCTCATCGCTGCTCCTTTTGTCATGTAATAAAATTCTTAGATTGCACTGAATATGTGTGTGTGTGTATTAAACAAATGTAGAAATATTGTTGACGTGTTGCATTTGATCTAGGAAAACCAGCTGTTGTATTGAATTCATTTGCTTGACTAGGCTAACAAAACTAAACCAAATGACAAATCATGTGGATGTAATGTCGAAAAGAAGATAAAGTTTTAGCATACACTCTTAAAGAACTTATTTTGACATGAATGTGGAAGCTACTATTAGCTCCTCCTAGTTTCTACTTAATATATTTAACGTATGCCTTACTGTTTCTGTTAACTTCAGTTTGGACGATCTATCAAAACTTTTAGAAAGTTAAGTAGATATAGAACTTACAATCTTTCCTCTGTAGAGTAACTTAATCATGACCTGCTAATTGGCCATCCTCCAGAATTCATTCTTATGTAATCATGTTTAAAGTAGAGAGCTGTTCGCGGTGTTAACAAAAAGAGACCAGCATAGCACTCAGTTATTGTGCAGGTGTGAGGTAGCGGGTAAATAGTGGAATAGTTGAGGTGCATGCAAGTTGGCCTAGACATCACAGATATTGTTAGAAAAAAAAAAAAAAGTGACCAGATGTTTACTGATTTTTATGCATTTGGTCTGAATGTCAGAATTTAGTAGTAACAATTTCGCATGAATTTCTTGGCTGCTAGTCCTGCATAGAATTGCAGTAACCTTTTAAAATGCAGGTTTCACTTGCTAGCAGAATTTGATGAAGGTAAACGCAGCTGTCGCAAACGTCTTGCAGGCCATAATGAGCGGCGGAGAAAGCCTCAATTCGATACTCACTGGGGTAAACCTTTTCTCCCTCCGCTAATTATCCTGCATTTGCTGATAATGTTAAAGAGAGTTCTATGCTTGATTTGTCTTCTAGTTCTCATTAAATCAAGGTATAATCAACTTTGTATGACCTAAGAGTTTCATCCTCCGTACTTCAAGTCTCTTCCTTTTTCCTCTCAATTAGAAAACGTACCGCTGTTATTTTCCCATCTCTATTTTCATGTGAGGGCTTGAAAGAACTTTCTACTGTTAATCCAATTTGCTTATATTGAGCGAGTTTTGAAGTTCGTTAGTGCTAATTATCCTACTCCCTCCATTTTAATTTGTTTGTCTTATTTTCCTTTTTAGTCTGTTTAAAAAAGAATGCTTCTTTACTTTTTTGGTAACTCTTTAATTTTAACTTTTCACATGACATGTTTAAGACCACAAGCTTCAAAAGCTTGTTTATTTTCTTAAACTTCGTGCTAACTGCCAAGTCAAAACCAGGCAAATAAATTGAAACGGAGGGAGTATTTACTTAATCATATCTAGTTAAATATAGTTTCTGTATCAAGTTTTTCAGTTTTTCATTTGGTAAGCATATCTGTAACTGATTATAATCATTCTGTTAGCTAGTGGCACTCTCATGCTTGTTCTGCTTTGTGGATAAATTGTTAGCAGTTTTACCGACTACGAATTTATGCAAAATGCAGGTTCAAGATTTTTGGATATGACTTCCCAAAGGAGAGTACCATTTCTTTTCCCCGAAATCTTTCCCGGTAGCTTCTTTTATCAAGAAAATTATGAAGATAATAACAACAGCAAGCACCTTAAATTAGAACATAAGCCATTCGGCATCTCTCAATTGGCTATGTCAGTAAAAAATGAGCAATTCCCAGCGAAAAGCATCCAGCATCATTACGGAGTGAGAAAACAAGATCCGTCCAAAGTTCTCACTGGTGGGGCAACATTGTCTGTTCAAGAATTTTCCGAAGGGCAAAACTCCTCTTGTGCTCTCTCTCTTCTGTCAGCCCACTCACAAAACCTTCTACACAATTCAACGGATGTTTCACCAACTCTACGTTTGACGGTTGAACCAAACCATCATGTCTACATTAAAGGAGATCATCATAATCTTGAGAAATCTCCCAGAGTTAGTGTTGCAAATAGATTGACACCAGTTGAGTTATATTCATTTGACGTAGCCGAGCAAGATGTGGTCGTTCAAGTTCCTGATAGTGATGCTGTTTCATTTGGAATTCAGAGAGATCACGGCCATGATCAAAGATCAAACTCTATAAATTCCAGGAACTGCCTTTCTCCGGAATTTGGGCCTACCATGGATTTAGTGCAGTTGTCTTCGCACCTACAAAGGGTCGAGCAGCAGAAAAATTCCGTCCAAGTGAAGCAGGAAAATGATATCTTTTGTTCCTTTACTTCCACTTGAGGCTTATAAGAGCTACAAGGTCTGTAAACATGTTCATTTGATATATAATGCTTCTTTTCGTTTCTATCAGGAACTCAAAATGTCAATACATGTAAATCCACTCTTGTAGTTCATGTCGTATGTTAAATCAAGAACTAATTTCTCTGAGTTCAATAGACAAAATACATTCCCTCATGAATATACACTTGATATCTTACTAGACAAAGTTAACACATTTGAATAATGTGCCATTTCACTTATACATGTTTGGGCAACAAATTGAGATAATCTTATTTACTACTACTTGCAGGTTTTCATTTCTAGTAACTAGTGAAGATTAAGGATCATTATGAGCCTTGGTGAGTGTGTCTATTTTGCGCCATGATTTCTTTTTTCGAACCATGTAAATTACAGTGTGCTGAACCTCTATAGTGATGTACAAGCCTACTAATGTGACATTGCAGTATTCATATCTTTCATCCCCTCCCCCTCCCCCCCCCCCCCCCCCCCCTTCTTGAAAAGAGAGAAAGCCCAAAAGCAAAAAAGCAAAAGCTTTTAGGAATAGGAACTCCTTGTCTGCAATATATATATATATATCATATAAGTTGTTGTTGTTATTATTCGTGTGTGACCTTTTCTTGATTTTTTCATCCTCATTGCAGTCTGAAGGGTCAACATCCGAAATGAAGAATCGGAAGATTATATGAGGAGATTAAACTAATTCACAAGTGGCCTTTCCAACAAGTCAAAAGGCAAAGGCAGATTAATAAATGATTGATATCAGTACATCTTTTGTAAGTGTCAGCCATAGCTTTTCTATTGCTTTCTTTACATCAATTGTTTTGTTTCAATATATCCATTTCGTCGAAACAGTGCTCTTATTATTTTAATAGTTAGTGTTGTCTTTTAAGGAATCTTGCATCATATACTGATGTTTAAGAAGAAAATAGTATCAGAAATATAACATTTCTTGTGTGTAATCTTATGTATATCATCTCTTTTGTGTTAGATGGGACTGTAACAACCCCTTAAGTTTATGAAAACAATGGTAATTTCCTTTGTCGTGACTCATGACATCTATAAATCTTCACTTTTCCGTTAGCAATTGTTGTTATACATCTATAACTGGTAAAGTTGTTGTCACGAGCTGTGGAAAAGCCTCTTGCAGAAATGTAGGGTAAGACTGCATATAATAGACAGTCCTTGTGGTCCGGACCTTTGCATATCGGTGATGCAAATTCCATCTCCTCATTGTGAAAAGCATAGAATCTTACTATTTGTAGCAAAAATATCATATATATATTTTTGATGGCTTTAGTCTACTTTCCAATTCAACACTTTTGCTGCCATACATTTGTGACTTCTACTGCAGAAAAGTTATGCTCCATGCATGTGTTTACACGTGTACATACACGCGAAAAAGAAAAAAAAAATGAATCTTTCGATTGAGAAGCTATAGTGGCATGTCTTTTCGAGTTGTAGGCGTGCAGAATTGTATATGGAATCTATCATGAAATACATTTTTTTGTGATTTTTTTAGGTGAATTTGACTTGGTTGGTTAGTTTTTCAATTCATTATAGTGTTATTTTATGCATTAGATTAGTGTTTTTTTGTTGTTGTGGTCCTTGATAGAGAAGGAAGTAAAGAAGAAGAAGAAGAAGTGGTCCCTTATTTATTGGAATTGCAACATTCTATTTGGTTGGAAAAATTAGACATGTTGTTCCCATCATGTAGTATCATTCTAGTAAGTTGTGAAAAAATTGTTCAATATATGCAAGTGGGGTTGGGGGGTGGTGGTGGTGGGGGGGGGGGGGGTGTGATTAATTGAATTCTTTTGAATAAACTATGATGAAAATTGGAGCATTGAGCTTTTGTGTGTGGTAATTCCCTTTTCACGCGCATCATGTCATGTCAGCAAAAAGTGTTAAATTCATATGTTTTTTTGGGGCAGTGTAAGTGTTAGATCGAAACAAGTTCAAGTTACAATATCAAAGTAAAAGAAGCGAAGAAATTTAGAGGGTTGTTGATGTATTTAGCGTTTTAATACTTACTATATGTTGTTTCATTTGCTTTGTATGTCTTGTTATTTTGTTGTCGTTATTTTCCTTCCCACGTTGCTTTGATTATGTTTTTTTTTTTTGAGTTGAGACCTAAAAGAAATAACTTCTCTACCCCACAAAGATACGAGTAAAGGTAAGTGTACATCCGATCTTTTTCAAATTCAAATTCCACTCGTGGAATTATATCGGATATATATGTTGTTTATGATGATGATGATGTATTTAGCTTCTTCTTTTTTGTTTGTTTATTACCCATATATAAGGGTAAAAGAGGGATTGAGCACTGGGCATATAAGTTGTAATATTTTACTTAATAAACTTAAATTTTAAATTTGAGGAAGATGTTAAATTAGCACTAAATATAATAATATAGCATAGGATAAACTTTTTTTTTTAAAACTAAAGTTTAAAAATAGCAAATTAGATAAAGCCCAAACACAAACTATAGGACAAGTCCAACAAACTTAACCATCCTACATGTTTTCTCACAAGTAATTGGATAACATCATTAATATTACACATAATATAGTCCCAATATTTGCTTCAATTCAACATCTAAACCTACAAAATAAAAAAATAAAAAATCATTAGATGTATATATATGTACATTACAAGAAAAATAAAACTTATTAATTTTGTTATGAAAATGAAAAAATAATAATCTTACATTGTTGGTGTTTCCAGACAAGGATCCATTTGGTGGATTAGGAATGTACCTAGCCCACTATAATAACAAAACAAAATTTGTTACAAATAAAAATCAAACTAAAAAAAGACAAGTTTATTATATACATCGATATTAATTAGCTTTTACGCTATCATCAATTTTAACATGTTATAGTAGATTACTTATCTTAGTATCGATCTTTTAGATACTTAATTTCGCATATCATGGACAGTTATATATCATCACCAAATAATTTCATCATTATTTATTCCTCGTGTTATAATTCCAATATATTTTGTTCACAAATCAAACGACCTCTAAAATAAATTACTATTTTTTTTCTTCAAGATTAAGATTAGTGAAATTAATTGAACTCACATTTTTAGCAGCTGCACTGAAAGCTTCTCTATGTGGTATCTCTGGATTTTCAGCTTTGATACGTTGTATCTCCTCCCTTTTTATCAAAATAAAAAACATATAATAAGAAATAAACAAATAATATATAGTACTTCGTTTGTTTAATTTATGTAATATAGTATGAGTGACACATAGTAAAAAAACAAATGAGTTATCTTTAATTTTATAATTTTAAACATGTCACAACATTTTAAAAATTTCTCATATAATGAACTGTTTAATTCAAAATTAAATAATTTTCAAATATAGAAATACATGCATGGCTATTTTTTAAACGAATTAATAAAAGATTAGTATCACATAAATTGAAATGAAGAGAATATTTACTTCATGAATCGATTGTAGGCAGATGGAAGCCTGTGTTTCTTCTCAGGAGCTTCAACAAAGTTATAAAAAAATAATTAAATACTATTAACTTAATTAAAAAAATTAATTTTTTTTTTTATATAAAAAATAAATCATACATACGTTTTACAACAAAAGGTGCCTTTGGAGATAAAGGTTCACTAGAAGTTGATGAGGCAGATGATGATGCTTGCCCCTTATTTATGAATTCACTACAATAACCCTGTTGATTAAAACAAAAAATATATAAATTAAATACCCAAAAAATGTATAAAATTAATGAAACTTCTCAAACTTAAAGAAAAAAAATGAGTCGTGGAAACAATCATTAATATTTGTAGTATAGAGATGTAAGTTATCTACATCACACGCCTCTTAGGGGTGGAACTAGCTAGATCTTCTCCGAACCTTATTGATGTGAACTATATGTTTTGTGTATTGAACTGTCTTTTTTCGTTATAATAAAATTATTACCTGAAGATTGGGTTGATGATCAAAGCATTGGCCTTGAATTGGAGGTCTAGTACTTAAAAATGAAAGATTGCTACAATGGCCACATTTAACTGTTACAGTATCCATTAGCCTCTTGTATGGAATTCCAACCTAAAAAAATAAAAAATAAAAAAAATTGTAAAAAGTTGTAGTGATAAAAGTGATTCATAAATCAGAATTTGTCTCAAAATCATATTAATTATAATCAGGATAAATAATTCCATTTTCTATATATAACAACATATTCAATATAATCTCATAAATAAAGTGTAAAAAAGGTCGTATGCGAATCCTACCCCTATCTTTATAGAGTAGAGAAGATATTTTCAATAAACTTTCATCTCTATAACAAAATCGAAGCATGATTGCAAAAATATATAATATGACAATAAAATAGCAACAAATTAGCAAATATAATGAAGCGCGCATACTAGTGAATAATTCTATAATTTTGGAATAAAACTTATTTTGATTTTAGCTAATATACCAATCAACCTAGCATATGATAAATTTAATTAATCTGAAATTTTATATTGAAATAACTCACTTAATCCTTCCGACATTAAAACGATCCCTCTAATTATTTAAAAAGTGTACGTGTTGTAGCATGTGATTTGACAAAATAAAAGAATTTAATTTCTTTATACTTGCTAAGTAGTCATTTAAATAAAAGGAAACAATCATAGTATATAGCTTTATTTTGACCTTCCTATTTTTAACTCCATCAAGAAATTAAACTATATTATAAAATCACACATCACATAAATGATTGATGTAAACTTGTAAATCAAGAAAGATATAGATTGATAGAGACAGAAAAAAAAACATGTATATAGCAAAATCAATTATATTAATTTAAGCTTTAATTTGCATGAAAAAGTAAGAAATTAAAATAAAGGAAATTCAATTAAATTACCGCTAAAACAGTGTTGCAAAAATTGCAACGAACGTAGCAAAGATGTTCAGAAGTTTGAACATAATCCATGGAGTTTTTTTTTCAGATGGAGAAAAGAAAAAATGTTTTTGTTTTGTTTAAAGGACAAAATATATTTATGGTTGGGGGGGGAGGGGGGGTATTGCTAAGGAAAGGAACAATGAGAAAAAAAGTTGCAAAGAAATTTGATTGTGGTAACTCTTTGTGACCTATATGTGTTTATACAGTATTGTATATGTTATATTTATACTTGAATATTTTGGATGATGAATTATTCATAACATATTTTCAACTTCTACTTGTTAGTATCACCCTCTTCGGAACCACTCGTGGAATTACATTGAATATATTATTATAGGCATATTCAGAATTTTTAAATTATGGATTTTGAGCCATAATATTTTTTTATTACTAGGTGTAAGAGTAAATTAGAGTCTCACATTTGTTGACGAATGGACTGGTGATCTATTTATATGGATTTGAGTCATTATCTCGTCGTGAGCTAACTTTTGAAGTTATAAACTCATATATTATATCTTTACATTGGATTCTGAATAAATAAACCAACGCGTGGGTATTGTATTGATGATTCACACGATTATCTATCATATGTATATTTTTTTTACTTAACTTAAAGAGTTATGAGAAGAAGAAGAATTATTATTTTCATTATAGAATATATTTTTTAAAATCATCCAAATTTTCTTATGTTGTGCATTAGGGTTTTGAGGTTTTTTACCAAAGGTTCTTGGTAATATATGTTGTGTAATGCTACTGTCCAATTTCATTTCAGTGTCCTTCAAATATGAATAAAAATAGTATACATTAATAGTGATGACATAAATCAATGTTTAAATTCTTTTGACTTTTTTGACTGTCAAGTAAAAAACACAATTTTCTTCCTCGAAAGTCTATTGAAGATCGTCTTCTTATTCTATATATAGTGGTAAGGTTTGTGTATACTCACTTGTAGAAATTTAAATATATCGAATATGTTATTGTTGATGACGATGAATCTAATTATAAGGTGATTAATATGATAGGCAAATTACATTTTCTTGATATTATTAATACAATACATAAGAAAAATATAGTAAGGTTGAAATAAAATATAAACATAAGAAGACAATAGTCTAGATATGCAA